TATATATATATATATATATATATATATATATGTATGACTTATGACTGGCCAGAGCTTTGGGCGTTGAATACACGAATAATCCGGAGGCTGACCCTGCCATGTGTCATCCGCAAGCGGGGAATCGAAATTTCCGTTGCATTTGCTCGGTCCAACAAAGGGTCAAAAATCGAAATATTTTTTTTTCCGTTTATTTACACACATTCACTATTTAGCTCCACTTAAAATTCAATTAATCCCCGCCTGCATCCCCAGCACCAGAATGCTGAAATACACGCCGGCTTGCTTCTCCTGCACATCCGCCACAGCGCCGGCCCCTCCCACAACAACAACCTCTGTTTACTCCACACACATCGGCAAGATCTCCCTCACCTGGAACCGCGGCCTCCTCGGACTCTCTTTAATAGCCAATCTCCAGCTCTTCCCTTCGTCGGCGGCAGAGAACCAGACTGAATCGGCCGGCGATCATCTCCGATTCCGTATCTTCCTTCTTCTCCCTTTTAAACGGAAGGGATCGAAGTGGCTCCGGTTGAACACCGACGGCGGACGACGGTTTTCGGTGGAGCTTGTTTGGGATCTCACTGGCGCGACCTTTCACCGTGTATGCGGACCAGAGCCGGTGGAAGGGTTCTTCTTCGTCATTGCTGTGGATGGAGAGATGGCATTGGTTGTCGGAGATCGCCGCAATGAGGCGTTCTGGAGGATCAAAGCCGTGCGACCGAGGAACGAGGAAATCAGAACTGAGCAGACGTCGAAGAAGGTGGAAGTGAAATTGGGAGAAATTGGAAGAAGCATATCATGGATGGCGATTGCGCGATTTTCTGGCAGGGAGAGGGAAGTATTAATGTCGATTGATTTGGAGAAGAAGCGGATGAGATTGACGATAAATGGCGAGAGGGTTTTGCATGTGAGCCGGCTCAGGTGGAATTTTAGGGGAAGTGAGAGAGTGGCGGCGGAGGGTGGTGATCGGATTCAGGTGACTTGGGATCTTTTTAGATTTCTTTTCAGGGAGGAATCCGGCGGAAAGCAGTCGCCATCGTCGGCACCGGCGATTGATGGCGATGCGGTGATCGTGTTGAGGTTTGAGAATGTGGAGGAGGGGTATTTTGGGAAGAGGACGGGGTGGGGGTATTTTGGGAAGAGTGCGAATTGGAGTGAGGGTAGTGGTCGGTCCTGGACGATGGCGGATTCGTCGAAGACTGTGGAGGATTGGGAGAGCATGGAAGATGTCAAGCTGAGGAACTCAGATGCCAACGGGTTCACTCTAGTTATGTGTGCCAAGAGAAGTTTAAATTAAAAAGGATGTATTTGTTCTTTAGTCTTAAAAGATTTATAGAGGTATCACTTAATGTCTATGTATTTATATATCTAAAACCTAAAATTCAATTCTTTAATTACATATCTTTTTTTATGCATGAAAAAATATATATTTCACTTTTTTAAGTTAAAAAATTGATATTTTTTATGAGATATGAAAACTTAGGTTGGAGTAAATATAAAAAGGCAATGTTTAGTTGTTAAATGTTGTTGAATCACGTTCAATGAATGAAATGTAAGACATGTGAAAGAGATAGAGACAAAGACAGAGAGAGAAATGCACAACTATAAACACTAATTAAAGAAAAGTGTGTAACCCTTTATTCACACATTGATCCTATATTTATAGAGAAAAAAAGGTACATTATGTGAAGTTACTTTATATCACTGCTTTAGTTAGGATCGTACAAGGTATTATAAGTAATTTATATATGTGGGCCCAAATCCCAACTTCTTTAGAGCTTGGCTGGCTGGACTAGAGAATTCTTGATAGACACTGTTTATTGTTTGAGATAGAGAGGACTACTGGCCGACATGGTTCGGGATATAAAATCGGTTAGCTAGATCTGATATTTGTCGGTTGGATGGACTTCTTACTAACAAAAGGTAAGTAAGATTGATTCAGTTATCTAAGTTGTGTCGATCTGTTGATCAAGTCTGGTCGTCGACCCTCGGTTCCGGATGAGAATCTTCTGTTGGCTGGGAAGGGCTAGACTATCGGGTAGAGGGTTTGTGGAGGATTTTTATTTCTTTGAAGGACCACTATAGATCTTGTAAGATTCTTGTCTAAATGATTGCATACAACATTTGAAGAGTAATATATTATCTCGAGAAATAAAAATATTACCTCAGAATGTATTCAATCATTCAAATGAGGGAAATTTTTGGGGTCTATGAAATCATGATTCTTCCCATACCTTACATGTATAATATAAGGTTTATTTTAATTATGGGTTCTCGTTTCTACAAGGGCAATCCCTCATTGTTAAGTACAAGCTTAGAGTCGTGAGCCCTAAAACAATAAGTCAAATCGTAATAAGTCGAGCTTTCATGATTGGAGGGTCTAGAATGGAAGAATTAAGTCCAAAGGATGGGGCTTACAATCCGATGACAACACGTCATGGGAAAGACCCAGGCATAAAATTTGATTTGATTTATGAGTGTCAATCAAATGAACCTATGATGAGTTTGAACTGAAAGAGAAATGACATAATAAACTAACAAGATTAATGGGAAATCCTAAGCTAAGGATAGAGTCAGGTAGGAAATGATTTCTAGATGAACACTGGAACCCTATACTCTACGAGGAGTTTTACAAGCAGAACAACCCAATTTTTTTTTTGGAATAACGTCCCCAATCAAGATGCCCATGGCTTTTCGTCGTTCCGAGAGTGTTGGTATCTGTTGACTATGATCAGCTTCATAACATGGAATCCCTCTTGAATGCCAGAGCACGGAGAATTCGTAGTTTCGATGCAGTCGAAACACCTTCATCACTATCATGGGTTACTTCATTCTAATGTATTCACTTTAGTCTCAGAGGAAGGTTTGTTATTTTGCATGTTCTAGTCCTTAGCACTTACTATGTACCTAAACTAACCTTAACTTCTATACTCAGACTAACCTGGGGCAAGTTTGTGGCCTTCAGTTTGATGTCTAAGTTAGTTAGCCTAAAGTTTGTGTCGGATCTACCTAGGTTCAGTTCTCGTTATTTATCTTAGTGTATTTTAGATGTTTATTTGATGTTCAATATTTGAATTAATGTCATATTTGATTTCTAGATTTGTTAGTTATATTGAGAAATCATAGTTTTTGCTAAGTTTTATGCTTTGTTTTCATTTAAATTTTTTATGTTTGACATTTACGGAGAAAATTGAGAAGTTCTCGTCCTTTTTTTGTTTTATTTTATTATCTATGAGACAATTATGGGGATACGAGCGACTCCTGCACTGGATTCATAGTCGAACCTCTAACCACTCCCTCTGAGGAACCAACGAGCACCGACAAGGGTCCGGTCCATTTTGACAACTACTTCATGACTCCAAGTTAATGTTGTTGCAACTCTGTCATCCCCCGTTTGGAATCGATGACGTGCAAGGTGTCGGGCGACTCATACCCCATCGAGGTAATGACAGGCAGCAACCTCACATATTCAACCTGTAGACTGGGCATCGTAGTCGGGGCGGACCCCACAGCGCCCTTTGATGACCTTCTGTCTGGGTGATCTTCGAACCCTACTGATTCGTCTGCATTGAAATCATAAAAAAAAGAAAAAAAAAACGTTTAACCACCAACAGACCAAAAAAGTCTTACATACCCATAAATCCATCCATGCAAGGAAAGGTCCTAAAGGTTTCTTTCTCTATTGCATTGAAATGGCCCCACCAGCTTGCAGTAGTGACTCAGGAAGGATGAGGATCACCACTTTGTCCTCCTCCCTTCCACTCGCCTCGACACCTTCGACAAATTGAACATGCCAACCTCTGGTGCTTGCATCCATGTCAGGCTCAGGGACTATGGCCTCCTTACAAGGGAATTTCGTCATTCGCCCCTTAGGATCTCTAGACGAATCAACCCGATCCTACAATGCAGTTTCAGGTACCGACCATCTCTCCCTCTTATTTTTTTTCTTCTTTTGCAGGGTCTGAGACCCGATAGCCCACTTAAGCTAGAATCTAGGGGTCCATGGTGATCCGGCTCAAACTGTCAGCCATAACACAACTCAGTTGTTAGGAGAAAATGACGACGAAATACACTGTACCAAGCTTGTGACTCTATTTATAAAACATTATAGGCACAAAATCCAAAAAGAAGAAAATGATCAAATTTATTTTTCTTGACTTTAGCACCACTAATTATTAAACAATTTCTTTGTCCTTATCATAGCTATCACATTTAAGGAGCAGAAAAAGCTTGAAAAACTAATATGTAAACACAAAAACCGTCGCTTGAATCTCAAATCAATTGAACGACTCATGATGATGGTCGGACGATCGAAACATTAGACTACAAAAATGTGATATGGGTCGGCCATCCAATGAACGATATCTTACTCGGGGCCATCTGACACATTATGGCGAAAGGATTCAATCGGTGCTGAACCAACTAAACTCATTATAAGGGCACCTGATCGCAATATATCGACTAACCGGTCATTTACTTCAGAAGGCACGATCGTCACTCGACTAGTCGTCTTGATCGATTGAATTCAAACTTGTCGACCAACTGGTTATCACTATATTCAAATTCAAATTGTAATACATAAGGTTATCATAGCTATCACATTTAAGGAGCAGAAAAACTTGAAAAACTAATATGTAAACACAAAAACCGTCGCATGAATCTCAAATCAATTGAACGACTCATGATGATGGTCGGACGATCGAAGCATTAGACTACAAAAATGTGATATGGGTCGGCCATCCAATGAACGGTATCTTTCTCGGGGCCATCTGACACATTATGGAGAAAGGATTCAATCGGTGCTAAACCGACTAAACTCATTATAAGGGCACCTGATCGCAATATATCAACCAACCAGTCATTTACTTCAGAAGGCACGATCGTCACTCGACTAGTCGTCTTGATCGACTGAATTCAAGCTTGTCAACCAACTGGTTATCGCTATATTCAAATTCAAATTGTAATACATATTTGGTATAAGATCAACATAATTAATCACTTACGGGAAGTTTCCATAATTGTTCATTTTTTTCTGTAATTATACAAATACACTTTTATAAATAAAAAGAAACATGACGAATAAAGAGACCTCCCCTTCGTTTCTTTAGGGGACTTTATGAATTACTTGACTTTATTTCACATTCCCGTTCCTGCGGCTCTAACTCTCTAGGTATTAGATCATATATTATATCATTTAAATATTGATGATTTAACAAATTATTTACTGAATAAATAAATTTATTCTTGAATATTAATAAATATGTTTAATTATGGTCAAAATTAATTCATTTAGCTTAAATTAAAAAAAAAACATGATCTCTGGCCCAATTCGAGTTGTTCAAGTGCCTTGATTAATTTTATACAACCCCGTGTAACTCTCCATAGGGATCTTGCTGTATTTTATCGTGAATGATTATCTTAGGGCAGTAGGGTTCTCGATCTAGGCGACTCCGGTTCGGGTCATTAAAATTCTTCACAAATTTCAGACCGACCGGTTCAGGGACTATATAAACCACAAGAACACGACTTCATCTCAACTAGGGTTTTTCCAACACCGGCCGTCTTGGACAAGAGCAGCAGAGAAGATGGTGGATCTCTCTACTCTTATCTTCTTTTCACTTTTTTTTTAATTTTGTTTTCTTCTTCCATTTCATACGATTTCATGCTCATAAAGTTTTTCGCTACTATTATTTAGCCGTCTTTCAAGACTTTCCGGATCAAGAAGAAGCTGGCAAAGAAGATGAGGCAGAACAGGCCCATTCCCCACTGGATTCGTATGAGAACCAACAACACCATCAGGTATTCTTCATTTGCTTCCTAGGCTACTTAGCGTATTACATGTTCCGCTTCTATGATCTCGCGATTTGTTTTCGTGTTTGATTCTTATGTGGCACTTTCAGGTACAATGCAAAGCGCCGGCACTGGCGACGTACCAAGCTAGGTTTTTGAGGATGCTTTCGAGCTGTCATGGATTTGGGGCGAGGGTAACCACACAGTTTTCCTCTTTGATTTGTTGAACGACATGTTGCTTAGAGTTCTATTGTGCTTAATTTTGTGTAAAAACCCTTGATGTGTTGAAAATACTGTTTGCTTGTTTTTAGTATTGGTACTGCTCTAATGTGTACTCTTTTATATATGCTTCAAACTGTGGTTATTTTACCCAGAGTAGCTGGGATGAATGATTAAAATCATGATGATGAAATGTGATTTTCTGAGTAAAGTTTCCTCAAATTTCATATTGTTTTGATTATATAACTGAACGATTTTTGTTTCCACGTTGATATCCATAAATATAGCATTTAACTTCTCTATGTTGAGTTACTTTTGATAAAGTATATGCTTGTTGTAATGGGGGGATGTTTTCTAATATAACTTTTGCTGCTGTGCTCCTATGGATGAAAAATTATTTGTTTTTTAACTATAAGATTTCTTTTCTACAAGATACACAAGGAAAAAGCTATTACTGTTTATTTTAAAAGACAGAGGAAAACAAGGATCCAAGCCAGTAATTCATTAAAGAAATAAGGTGTATGCCCATGCTTTTATTTTGGGTCTCTTATAAAAACAATGCTTAATTTAGGGACTATAATGGAGGAAAGGATAATAATACAAATTGACATGGAAGGTCATGTGCGCGTAGATGATGTCCCAAAAAAGAATTGGACTCTAGATTGTTCTCAACCATTTGATTAAGATGATGAAGTTTCATGATTCAATGGTCCCCACTCATCTAGTTATGGAGGGTTTGGCAGTCCTATTTTTTGTTTGCAGTAAGATTCACAGACAATTTCATTAAATTGGTAACATCAATGGACAAACCTTGAAGCTATCAACACAAGCTCATTGGCATGATATTTATCTTTACTTGTATCAATATCGCAGCTTAAGGTCTTTATTGATTCATCCATTTATCCATAGTGCATGATTGTTCAACATGGATGCTGATGTTGATTTAGTTAGCTCTTCCAATATTGATAATAGGACCAAAATACCATCAACGTAGGCAGTTTGCTTGAACATTCACCTTGAGGATAAGGTAATCTGATTGACCATCATATTTTCATCCAATTACATGAAATAATGTTTTCCAATTATTATAAATACTTACTAATAGATGAATTCCAATGTATTTGGAATTCGGCTGAATCAGGTGAATTCCAAGTATATTGAGAATGAGCTATTTAAGGAGTTCCAAGTACCTGAAAGGTTTATCCTGCATTTTTTTTCCAGCCAAATTCATAAAAAAATACATCTCCCACATTTTCCTTATGTTACACTCTAAATGCTTCAGAATAGGTATCCCACAAAATGAACACCCATGTATTTCTTGTACTTTTGACTCACAATACATGCAATAAACAAATCCTATGGTCATTCTCGTGAATATTGAATCTTATACATGGTTAAAAACATGTTAATATGCTTCTTCCCGACCTTATTTGTGTCAAAGCATCACTTGTAGGGTTGACTAGCCTGGACATCATCGCCTTGTGATGCTAATCGAGGCCAACATTTGCCTATCATGCATGTTATTCAAACTCATCCAGGTTCTCATTAGCTCCAATTTTGCTACATTTGATCCTCATTGGGAACATGCTTAATACCGCGAGTATGTATTAGACTCATTCACATTATCAAGGAATTCCAAAATCTCAATTGAGGGAGGGAAATCATACCTTTATAAGTTTATTCCTTCCTTTGCTGTGGTCAATTTAATTCTTTACAACCGCATGTGCTAGGAATTGTTTTCTTTTCAGTAAAGAATTCCAAGATAGGTGACAATAATCTCTCTCCATAATGCAACCATGATAAAAAAAAATGCCATTGTTAATCATATACTAAACGATCCTATTCCACATAGATTTGCAATTTCAACCATACGATTCATCTTAAGACTGCATTGATCTTCATGCGAGCATTAATTATTTTATGTAATCATGTGAATCCATTGATCTATTAGTTAGATTCTATGTCTATTTTTCACTAATATAATAATAAGGAAATCAAATTTATGATTTATAGGCTACCTATGCACTCTGTAATTTTTGGGAATACGGTAGAATAATCTTATTGATAGGAAAGGGGAGGTATACATCTAGATTATATGACTCCTAACACAGGAAATATATAAAATAGGGAAGACAAATAGGAAATTTAAGAGAAGGAAATATATAAAACACGAAATATAAAAGAAGGAAATAAATTGATGCTATTAACTTCTAATACTCCCCCTCAAGTTGAAGCATATATCTCAATCATGTTCAGCTTGGATTTAAATTTATCGAACAACGGTCAAAGAAGATTCTTTGTGGGAATATCTATTTGTTGGTCAGTGGAAGGAACAAATGGAACACATTTTCCTTGAATCAAGCTTTTACTTGGCAAAATGACTGTCAATCTCCACATTCTTGGCACGCAGATGTTGGACTGGATTATGGGCAATGCTGGTGGTGGCTTAATTGTCACAAAGCAACTTTAGAGGAATGAAGATCGATATGCATAGTTCGGGAAACGCTATGCACAACCAGAGGGCTTCAAATACTCCTAAGGACATAACTAAACTCGGCTTCTTCATCGCTACGGGTAATCACAAACCTTTTTTTTCATGTGACAATTTGTGCCCACATGAAGAAAAGCGATAATCAGAGGTAGATCGACGATGATGGACAGACCCAGTCTAATCTTCGTCCGTATAAATTGCAACAAAGCGAGTGGTGATGAGAAAACAACAAATCCAAGCCCGATGCGCCTTTTAAGTGGAGTATCCGATGCACAACATTGAGGTGGTGCTCGTAGGGACAAATGTTGGGATGCGTATGGGCTAGATAAATGAGTTTCCCCGTTAGACATTAATAGTTTGTCTTGTTCACTGGATATGCATTGGAAACATCAACCAACTTTTCTTTGGGATCCATTGGAACAATTTCCGTTTGTAAAGAAGTAGTTTTGTTTAAGTTAATAAATCTTTCACATATTTGCATTAGGAAAGACTAATACCTTGAGACGACCGAGCTACTTCTATACTTAGGAAATACCGAAGAGAAGTGCATCTATAAATACCGAAGAGAAGTGCATCTCAATAGATGCAGATATGATGCTTTTGACAGATTCTAAGGCATGTCGATCATCGCCTGTGAGTATGATTTCATCGACATGGACGATGAGGATGTTAATATGGTCTTCGAATGAGTGGCAGACGAACATCATGTGATCATATTAGATCTGAGAGAAACTATGAGCAACAATAACTTATGTAACTTGTTGAGCTAACCCTGAGGGTATCATTTTAATCCATAAATAGACTTCCGCAATCAACACACTTGTCCACGGGAATAGATTGAGCAAAACCTAGTGGGAGAAACTTATGCCCTTCTACGAGATTGCTATTAAGGAAGATATTCTTGACATCCAGTTGGAGTAAGGGCCAATTCAGATTATAACAAGAGATAACAGAACCCGAATGGTGTTTAGTTTAGCTACCAGAACAAATGTTTCCTCATTGTTAACTTCATAGGTTTGTGAATAGCCTTTGACAACCAATTGTCCTGTTACATTCAAAGAATCAATCAGAGTTAAATTAGGTGTTGAAAATCCACCGACAATCCACTGCTTTCTTTCCTCGACGACGATCAACATCTCACATATGGTTTTGTCGAAGGCATTCATCTCATGCATTATTGTCGTCTTATAGGAAGGGTCTACCAATGCTACCTCAATAATTGATGGAAGACAACAATTCATCTAGGAAGTGACATATGCTTTTTAAGTCGGTGATAAGCTATGTAATGAGATATATTTTACTATGGGATAAAGAGAGCATGCCTGATTGCATACCTCAATGGTAAAATTCAACTCATTTAGGGCAGGAGGAATCTCCGTAAATTTAGAGTATTGTTCCGGGGATGCTGGTTGGAGCAGATTCCAAAGACTGCAACGTGGCAGCAGGCTCAAGAGTAGGGAAATGTAGGGACATTGAGACAAGCTTCAATCGAGGGTTTGATACGCTGAGTGTAGACACATAGAATGGATGGAGGAGATGTTGGTCTGGTTGGTAGTGGATCTAGTGGGGCAGAGGGTTCCTCGGAAACAGTGGATGTAGTAGGTTGGAACATCCAACAAAAGGGGCAATGTTAGGGAAGTAGGGGATACTTTCTAAAAAGGAGGCTTCAACATTCTCAATAGAGTTTATTGATGGTAGGTTTTAGACATTGATAGCCTTTTTGAGTGGTTGAATATCTATGGAAGACACATTTGATTGATCGAGAACCAAGTTTACTAGGATTTGGGGCTGTGTTTCGAACAATGGTTGTACACCCAAATATTTTGGGATTTAATATAGAGAAGAACCGATTGGTAGGAAAATACAATATCAAGGCTGCTAACGAGGTCCTGAAGTTGTGAATTTTTGTGGGGACTCTATTTATGAGATACTTGGCGCGAAGAACGACTTCATTTCTAAAGTGCGAGACATTTGATTGAAACATAATTAAACTAGCAAGTTCAAGAAGGTATTGGTTTTTCCTCTCGATTATCCTATTTTGTCGAGGTGTATCCGTACATGAGCTATGATGGAGGATGCCTTACCAAAAATTCTACCAATATTGAGCTAAAAAAATTATCGACGTTTGTTGGTTCGAAGGACTAAGATAGAGGTTTTGACTTGGGTCAAAAGAAGTGGCAAAATTTTAAGGTGGCTCCCACTTCAGATTTGTCTTTTAATTTTTAGACCCAGGTCATTCGAATGTGATCATCAATCAAAGTAGTAAACCATTTTTTATTGGTGTAGCTTGAAGTTCGAGAGGTTCCCATGAGTCATTATGAATCAGTGAAAAAAGAGCGACAGAAGTGAAGGGTGGGGTGGATATGATAGATGTTGGTGTTTAATTAAATGACAAACCTCACATTTAAAATTAGATAAGTTTTTATTAGTAAATATCGAAAGATACAATTATTTTGAGTTGTAAAAATTAAGATGATACAAATGACAATGTAAAAGCAAAATAGGGTTTCAATGGTTCCGGAAAACTAGAACTATGAGGTTGAATGTTCACATCATCAATGCTTTCATATTGAAAGAACCCAACTGCCCGTTTAGTAGTATCAATCATTCTCTCAAAACAACTATCCTAAAAGACATGAACATCAACAGAAAAATGAACAACACAATCAGTTTCATATGTCAATTTACTGATCAATAAGTGG